ATCTTCCATTGGCCAAATTTGCCAAAATTGAATGTCATCAATCATAAAGCCAAGATGGATTATTTCATTCTCCTAAGAAGTGTCATTCCTTGATTAGTGAAATGTCACTTTCTTTATTTTTTTCCTGAAAATAATTGAGAATGAAGAGATTCAAATCACTCTTGATATTAATTAAATGTGCTAGTTGGTCTCCATGAGAATAAATATAATTTGTTTTTCTAGAGTATTATATTAATTATAAATAAATATATGAGATTCGACCGTACTTAGAGAGAGCTAGACACTAATGTCAGACTATTCAGTCGTACTCATGATATTAATTAGAGGTTTGTGTTCTCGTTACAATGAATGTCCTTTTAATTTATCTCAAAATGAGTCTCCCTTTCAACCATTTGGCAGAAAATAATAATATTTTCTATTGAAGATCTTTTAACATCATATAAAAATGAAAAATTTTCTAATAACACCCAATTAGCCTTCGAGATTTAGTTGAATTAATGTCGCATCGAACAAGTGATTGAACTAAGGATTATAGTTGTTAAAAAAAAAGGAAAAAACAAAACAAAGAAATTGTGAACAAACAAGCCCCTAAACTGGATAACACAAAACTAGAAAGAAGCTGCCCTCTAAAATTAATTAGCTTTCTAAAATTTCAAAAGTCCTTTTGAAAAGTGAAGAACGATACCGAGAAAAAATAGACACAAAAACAAACTCTCGTTATCAATCAAAGACTTAGCAACGCGTGTTACGAACCAAGCAATTTGAACACAATATAAGGACTAGTTGGCAAAATTTGAAAGGTTAAAAAACAGAGTAGTTGCAGCCAAATAGTAAAAGACAGCCATAAATACAACAAAATGGAAAACCAAAAAACTTGGAAAAATCTATAAAGGCAGTGTCTGTTGAGTGTTAGGCATTTGCTAAAAGCAAGAATTTCAATATTCTCTTCCACATCTCAAGGCTTTAACAGCTAAGTTTGTTTTCAAACTGCACATGCCTCTCCTTTTGGACTTTAGATCCAATAATTTTCTACTTTGAAATCATTGGGATATTTCAAATCTTTTTTCTATTAGTTAACAATTAACAATTAGTCTAGTATATCGACAAGTGTATTTGGGTTCGACATTGACATAAGGGATGAATCAACATTTTCATTGTGTCCCAAAAAAATTTGACAAAATATCACTAACGTGGACATAATATTAATATTAACCAATTTTAAGTTATTTAAAAAAGTGAAATGCTTATTTGTTATAATTTTTTTTTTCAAAAATGTCCAATGCATCAATAATTTTTTGGATATTTTCATAAATTTGAGATCTTGATATTTCTATCAACATCAAACGTTTGAAACTTTTAATTAATCTGAGAAGTTTTGAAATATTGAAGTTCTTGATTTTATACAATGTATTGTAGACCGTTATAGGTGCTTAATGTTTTGTTAAGAATATAATGAAAAGATTAAAGTTGTTTTCTTCGTATCATAATTTTTATAGTTATACAAATTTAGTTTCAAGAGATTCTCTATGAGTTAAAGTGATAGAACTAAGCTTTTAATTTAATAAATAATGTGAAATATATATTTTTAAATTTGAGTCGTCACTTTTGTAAATGCATTATTAGAATCACATGGAATTTGATTATGTGTTCATAGCAATCAGAAAAATGGTTGGTTTGTTTGATTATGACATGGGAACCCAAAAGAAATTATGAGACCAAGTGATTTTTTTTTCTTTTTCTTTTTTTTTTTTATAATTATAAATCTTGATGCTTGGTGGTCTTTTTCCTTTTCTTCTTCATTTTTATGAAGAAGGAGAAGTGTAAAACTACTCAACAAACAAAAAGGCAGATAT